GCTAAAAGCTTAAAAATCATAGGTAGGAAAAGAATTGATTAGAAAGTGACAGGACTGAGAATTACGAATGCTATATAGAGCATGAACGGTTTGTGTGTTACGCAGTAAGAAGTAAGGGCTTTCCTGTTATATGAGCAGGCAGCACCCAAATCAAAGAAAATACATTTCCCACTTAAAATACAAAATTTGAAAGATTTGCTGTCAGATGACATCATGGAGGCTGGACACAGACAGACTCAAAAGAGGATTATACAAATTAATGGAGGACAGATCCATTAGTGATTATGAAGCAGGATGGCCCCAAATCCAGCTTTGGCTAAGAACAGTCCTTAACTGCCAACTGTCAAAGAAGGGGGGATCCTTCCATACCTGTCTTTTCCCTTGTAATTTTGCCCCCACCATCTGCTAGGAGCCCCAGTCAGACACAGCACAGTGAACGAGACAGACCAATACAGTCTGACCCACCAAGCCTTTTTTCTTGCTCTCACAGGAGGCTGCAGCCACGATGTTATTTGCATGACTACTACAAAATGTTTAGCATGGCACAGACTTTTAATTTCTTTCCCTAAGATGCCTCCCAAGCTAAACATGCATCCTCTCACCCTACAGTGTGCTTCCAACGCCCTTATAGGCCAATGGACTCATGACAGAGCCACCACAACAAAGCCAAGATGGAAAAAAATTATGTAGGGTATGAGCTTGTGCTGAGATCACAACAGGTCAAGGAGGTGTCACCAGGGGACTCCTGGATGGCCTGAGGGTCAGAGGGGTTGGTGCAACTGTGAAAATCCTCCCAAGCAGAACTGGAGGTCTCCTCCCAGCAACTCTCATCCAGCAAAAACAAAAAGCTCAATGTCCGAGAATCTGACTCTACCCACACAGTAGCTGCAAGGGATAAAAGGAGACCATTTTTGTTTCCACTGAACAAATAAGCCTTCATTTGCTAAAATCCAGCATCTGAGAGGAGGGGATCAGAAACACCAGAAATCCTACAATAATTAATAGGAAATAGAACCCTGGGGAACTCCTGCAGCCTAAGCCTGGAGTGCCCTCTAGGGGTAAAACACTGGTAAACGCCAACTACTTCTTTTGGAGAAGTCCTGGACCAAGCCAGACTTTTCCTTAACAAAATCATGGCGAGGTTTCATTTAGCCAGTATTGGCCAGGAGAAGAAAAAAAGGAACTATGTATCCATGGTTTGCTGAGTTCTCTTTCTCTTTGTCCTATTTTTCCTCTGATCCACAAAGTTGCTGTGATGGTAACACAGCACAAGTTTTAGAAGGCTCTGCTCTGGGGAGAGGACTTTCTTCGTTAGTACGGTGACTGAGCAATGTTGAGACAGGGATTCCTTGACATTACAATGATAATTGCATAAGAAAGGAAATTCACGAGACTGAGGACACCCCTAAACTTTGGCCCAAACACCCCCCCGCTGCAGAAGCCTGGCTCTGGTGGCCACAGGAGGAAAGCAGGCAGGACGTTGGGTTCCATGAGCCCTTGCAAACCCAGTCAGTGCTTGTAGCAGCAAGTCCAGAGCTTTGCTCAGGGAGGGCCACGTAACTGGAGGAAGACAAGACTGAAGACCGCTTAACAAAGCTCTCCTCCAACGCGCTCTGTGCTCGCAGAAGGATCAATCAGCCCTGCATGCCAAGAAGTTACGACTGAATGCAATCAGCTTTGTTAGCCCGCTCTCAGAGCTTAAACAGGAGCTGCTCGTTTCCAAATTTTGGCTGCCTGTTCCCTCCTCGCCCAGATTCCCATGGAACAGAAGAACGATGCCACATGTACTGAAAAAATCTTCCCAGAGGGAACGAACAGGAGATGGCCAAACTACCAGGGAGAACAAAACGTACTACGAAGGGGCAAATTTCACACAGGGCAAAATTAGGCAGACAACTGAGCTTCTCTCTTTGCATGTGTCCCTGTCCCCAGGACTGAAACAATGCCGGTGGTTATGTCATACTGTGTTTGCCTTCATGCCATTACCAACGCATCTGGGATTAAGAGCCATAACCCTTCTGTTGTAACCATAAAATAAAATGTACATCATTAAAACGGCTCCTCTTTTTTTTCCGACTTTGAATCAACAAGCAGGATCATTTGCAGAAGCTACATTAAATGTAACTAGGAAGCAAATTTTGCAGCTGCTTGTGTATCTGCACTAACAAGTAAATTTAGGGGGTCACATTTACTCAGCCAAGGACAAGACATGCCATGTAGCTTGTGTGTGCAGTCATAGGTAAGCAATTTCAACCTGGGATATCAAGGTTGATAATGAACTGCTTCCTAAAGAACAAGGATTATTTACAGACGCTATTTGGTGAAAAGTTTCAGTACTATTGGTTTTACGAATGCTACAGACAAATCCTAAACAGAAAGAGAGCAACAGATGCAACTAACTTCAACATTTTTGAAAGGACCTATTTCCATCGCAGTTTTTAAGTCCCATGAAGTCTGGAGAAATTACCCTGATGAAACAAAACACAGGCAAACCCCAACACACCACAAAGGTCCAAGTCAGAGATGACCCACCCTTCCTCCCTAGCAAAAGGAAAGGACCAGGACACCAACTCACTTTGTGCCACAGGTTACACACAGTACACGGTTCCTGGAAGCAGCACGTGCCTAAAGCAATGTTCTGCCAGATGCTGCTAAAGAGCTGGATCTTGTCCCCATGCTCTTCTGTCCAAGTAACCTCCCCAGCACCACAACAAAACTCTCAGTTGCCAACAGAGCTCCGTTCCTGAGCTTTCATCATAAACTTCTGGCCTTCCATAATAAATGTGCTAAAAATGTGCCTTCATGGTAAGTACTGTGACACATCAAATATCGTTTTCCCAGAGAGACAAGGTATGGGTTAATCTGTTTATGCTACATTTTTGCACCAGGGTAGGTTAAGTAGTTTGAAGCACAGCACGTTACACAGCACTGCATTTCAGTTTGGGTCAGCGGAGATGCTTTTGCCAAAATCACACATGTGCACGCAATTAACAACATTCTCAGGCATCAGCCACCCCAGCTTCCACTCCACACAACAGGCCTTCGTTTGAAGCCTGGCACTGCACGGAGAGAATTAGAGCACAGCACCAGAGGAAGCCTTGCCAGCAGGTGTTTTGACTTGCAGAACATGTAAGTTCTCCCTGGTTTCAATGCTCACACTGCATCCACGAATTAAGGGAGAGTTAGAGACTGGAAATACTCTCTTGAATCAACTGGAGCAGAAATACTGTTGACAACAACAACGCTAACTACCACTGGGCTCCAACTGGCAAAATTATTCCTCCAAGCTCTACCTCCAAACTTAATCACCACAGAAGGATCAAACCCAGACACAACACAGAGCTCACATCTTCTCTGGACACGTGTCATCACTCGGATGCTTGATGAGATGCTGCTGATGCCCCACACCAAATCAAGACTCTGGTTCTGAATATTCTTCTAGAGAAGGAGGTGAGAGGATCTCTAAGTGGCAGTTGTGCTCATTCCCACTAAATTGTCTGGAACCCTCTCATGGATTTCAGTAGCACCCTCTTCTTCAAAGGGCAGAACAGAAGCACAGGCTGTCTTTGCCTTTTAACTTTTGTGTCATACAAGGTGTCAGATGAAGGCTTCTGCAGACTGCATCCTTTACTGAGCTGCTGCTTTCTTCATACATTCCCAATACTATACCTTCCCCAGAAAAAGCAAAGGTGGTCTTTCCCACCGCCAAAGCCCACTCAGTCCTTCACATCTCTTCTGACATTGTCAGCAGGGAACGGTCTGACTGAATGAGCCTTTTTATTGTTTTTACAGCATGGGCCTCTACTTCTAGAGATCTGAGCAGAGAGATGCCAGCACATTACAACAGTCACCATACAGCACATACACACAAGCAGCATACAAACAACTGAAGAAATTACTATTAGAGTAAAACAGGTTTAAGCTTCTGGGACTCCTAAACAGAGAAGCTATGGAGATCACTTCATCTCCAAAAGTTAACACAGGCTCCAAAAGAAAACAAATTATCAGAAAAAAAAACAACCACCCCCCAAAAAACCCCACCGAAGAAAAACTCAAAAAAAAAAAAAAAAAAAGAGAAGCAACCCAAACTGAAAAAAATCCTCACAAAACCTACAACCTTCTGAGGAGTAACTAGGATGGTCCACGAGCTGAAAGCTGGGCTACTGTCAGAGGAAGTGTCAACATGTAGTTCTCAGGCTTTTCCCCAGGAGCAGGAACACTGGGGAAAATGGAGTTTTAACTTGATCATGTACGGTTGTCCTTTACATTCTTATGACTGACACTCATATTTAATTCCAGCCCAGGTCAGAACTTATCCTTCAGTTTCCAGCATTTGTTTTGTTACTGTTCAGGAAACAAACCTTCAGTTTCCAGCATCTGTTTTGTTACTGTTCAGGAAACAAACCTTCAGTTTCCAGCATCTGTTTTGTTACTGTTCAGGAAACAAAACTTCAGTTTCCAGTGTTTGTCCAGAAACCACTGTGGAACCATCAGACAAGTAGTAGGTGCCATTTCCTACTTTGTCCGCACAAACAGGCTCTCTGGAGTTCATTAATATTTCCCAGTAGCAGCTTTCTACTACTGCAGGATTTTCCCAACAACCTTTGGACAACTTTGAGATTCTTACCCTTGTGTCAAAGCACTAAGCCACTGGGATATAGCAGTATAAGTTCTGAACTTCTAGGAATCATTGCTATAGTAGAAATAAGTAAAGAAAGCCAAGTCTTTCCATCGATGGAGATGGATCTCTGTGTAATTAAGCGATATGCCAGCTTGCAACATCTCTTGCTCTGAGCCAGGAGGCAAAGTTCACCAGCATCAGTTCCAGAGCACTTAGAATCCCTCTTAGGATCCCTCTCTGTCCTAGAAGAAGTGATCTGACCTTCTCATCATGACAATGTCATGATATACAGGGCACCTCCATAGCAATGCCATAATTTTATTGTACAAAGTAATTCACAGATTCAAGTCTGCCCCCACCGCGTTGCCCACATTCATACCTCTGTTTCAGGCCGAGGAATAAATACCGGGGGTCTCATCTTCAGAGTCAGGTCCTGAAAGTCCCACTCACCAAGCACATACTGCACTGGCATTCTGGCAAAAGTAAGTGTGAACACTTTAGGACTACATGCCGTAACGCAGAGGAGCTCTCAATACCACACTAACCTCCTTACCAACCACATAACCCCTCCGAGGGGGAGCAGCTCGACACCCCTAGGGCTCTCCACCGCATGCGGAACGTGCACGAGCCCCTCTAAGGGAGTGGGAGCCCCACTCCCACAAAAGAGTTTGCTATCAAGCACTGGCCCTGGGGAACTACAGGCCAGGCAGCCTCACGTCGATACTGGGCAAAGTGATGGAACAAATAGTCCTAGAGATTGTTTCCAAACATACTAAGTACTGGAAGGTGACTTGAGCTAGTCTGCATAGATTTAACAAAGGGAAAATCATTCCTGACTGACCTGATAGCCACCCATGACACAATGACTAGTTTGATGCATGAGGAGAGAATAACCAATACTGTTTGTCTTGACTTTCCTAAGGGTTTTGATACCATCTCCCATAACATCCTCACACCAAAGCCAGTGAAATATGGACTAGATAAACGAAGTGGACTGAAAACTGACTGAACCAGCCGGTTTGGAGGGCTGCGTTCAGCTGAAGGCCAATCACTAGTGGAGTACCCCTGGGGTCAACAGTGGGGCCAATATAGCATAGCATCTTCATTAACTATCAGGATGAAGGGACAGAAAGCACCCCTGGCATGTCTGCAGCTGACAGAAAATTGGGAGGAGCGGTCAATAGACCAAATGGGTATGTTACTTTTCAGAGGGACCTCAGGATGCTGGAGAAATGGGCTGACAGGAACTTTATGAAATTCAGCAAAGAATAACGTGAAGCCCTTTAAGCTGGGCAGGAATAAGCCCATACACCAGTACAGGCTGGGGGCCAACCAGCTGGACAGTGGCCTTGCTGAAAAGGCCTTGGAGATCGGGTGGACAAGTTAACCATGAGCCAGGAATGTCCCCTTGCAGCAAAGAGGCCAATGGCTTCCTGGGCTGCATTAGGCAGAGTGTTGCCAGAAGGCGGAGAGAAGGGATAATTCCTCTCCATTCAGCACTGGTAGGAAACATCTGGAGTGCTGGGCTCCCAGTACAGCAGAGCCATGGACATACTGGTTCGTAATGGACATAATGGTTCCTAAGTCCAATAAATGGCCATTAAGATGATTAAGGGATTGCAGCATCCGACATGCAAGGATAGAGACTGAGAGCTGGGACAGTTTAGCCTTGAGAAGGGAAGGCTCAGGCTGGAGGCCAGGGGAGGGAAAGCTCATCAATAACCATATGTTTCTGGTGAGATGGAGTAAATAAGGTGGAGCCCGACTCTTTTCAATGGTATCCAGTGAAAAGACAGGCAAAGGGCACAGACTGAAACACAGAAAATTCCATTTAAACCTAAGAACCAACCCCCCTTTTTTCCAACACTGTGAGGGTGGTCAAGCACTGGAACAGGCTGCCCAGAAAGCTTGTATAGAATCCGTCTTTGGATATATTAAACACTTAATTGGGCATGGCTCTGAGCAACTTGCTGTACTTGGTTCTTTTAAGAGCCGGGGGGGGGTGGACTAGATTTCCAGAGGTCCCTGGCACCCTCCATGATTCTATAAATTTTGGGCCATGTTTTCAGCTGCTGTGAGGCACCATACCTCACTTCATGTAGAACAGCAGATATTTGTTGCAACCTTAACAGCACTTAAGACAAAACAACTTGCAAGTCAGACAGCTCTGGGAATTTTGCATTTCTGCTCCTAACTCAAGACTCAAGAGCAGCAGTAAAATTTCAGGGAAGACACTCAGATCCTACAAACAGTAACCACTGCTGACACACTGACTCCCTGATAAACCCTCACTACCTATTCTGCATAAGTCATAGCAGGATTAATCCACACAGCAAAATGAGGATCTACATCATAGCCACACTTACATAAACAAGTAGGAGGATGCTACCTCCAAACATACTCCCAAGCATCTCCCACCCTTCTAAATGATCCAGCTTCCTGAATACTTCCTCTCCCCCCACACTACTCCCCAGGCCTAGTCTGGTTCCAGTAGGTCCTTCACACCAAACTCATTTAATTTTTGCACTAAAGCAAGCAAACGGAGGCCAAATGGAGACTAAAGCTACAGCAGGGAAAACACGGATACCTCCAAACAGCAGGGAAATCCCTCTGCAGGCAAAGCCTAGGAAGGAAAGCACAGCAACACCGCAGACCAGTATAGGACTGGCAGCTGAAGCGCGCACTGCATCAAACCGAAGGGGTCAAGGCTAAATTTTGTCAGTACAGAAGGGCTTAATGAAAATGTACCCAACTCAAGATTCAATATTGCCAGTTTCCTGCTCCTCTGCGACATCTCTTAAACCCTCTTTGCTCACAGACAGGACAGACAGGCAATTTGCTACCTGACGACAGCAGCAAACGCCCAACATTTGCATCACCATGTCTTCTCTCTGCTACCATTCTTCTGGCTGCATTAAGGCTGAAGCAAAACCTTCCAAAATAACGACTGTAAGAGAACACTCCTACCTTTCCAGTCGCTTGTTGCTCAGCTGCTGGATTTGCTCCTGCTGCAGTGCTGTAAGCGGAGTGTGGAGGCTTTTGGAATTCAAGCTCTGAAACTGAAGACAGTCACTTCAAAACCTGCCCACTTGTGCCACTTGGGTGCCCCCTGCACCCTCCCAAGGGCACCCTCCAGGGAGACCCAGCATGCTGATAAACACCCGAGACTGTTGGAAACCACAAAGGATTAGAACATATCCGTACATTTAAAAATAAACCTGTAAACCTGTTCTGCTGCTTTTTTGGGGCTCAAAAGAATAGGTAAAATTAAAAATCATTCCATCAAGCAAGTCAGGGTACAGTGTAGGTCTGTATGTCATGGGTTACATTCCAGTCCCTGCAGAAGGAGCCATTTCAGAGACAACCCAAGTGTTCTACTGGCATTAATAAACTATCCATTACCACTCTGCCAACTAAAGTAGGGAGAAGTTCTACTTCCTATAAGTGAGATAAGAAGAAAGATAAGGGATTCAACCAAAATAACAAAGTGGGAGGCACACACAGACCTTATTCCTTTCCCATTACTTAACTGTTTTTGCTCCCAGGACAAATGACACGATATATTCACTGGATTCTCGTGCTTCAGGAATCCCATTTGTCTCAAACACCTTCTGCCAGTAGTTGACCATATCAGTGGCAGTCACAAGCCCAGGTCTTGCACTACAGCTCTGCCTTGGAGATGACCACTTGGGACTGAGGACAGGACCTCTACTTTGACTCAACTCCCTTGGCACACACTGAGGTGAGACACACAATAACCTCTTGAGCAGTGGGTGGGTGAGGCTTCTCATCGTTGTGAAGTCAATTCCTGGCTTGCACATGTGTTCCTTGTTGCCATCAGCTGATCTAGTCAGTGTTGAGACTCACAGTACACTTGGTGCTACCACAAGCCACTGTGGTTAAGCACCAGTTTACCACAGTCAGTGGGTTCTCCTCAGGGCAGCATGAAAACGGCACTGGTTTGAAGCTCTTCTTGTCTAGAAAAGGAGGCAAGAGTACAGCCTGAATCCCTCGGGCTAGCAAATCACCCGTTCCTCTCTGACAGAATGCAGACTGCTTGCCCTAATCCCAGCCCACAGGCACAAAACCAATTACTCACACCCTAAGAGTAACAAAGGACTAGATTACCCCCCAAGAAAAGACTCAGGTGACAGCTAACCAGCTCTGCCACTGCAATCCATTTCTTTGCAGAGCTGCCTATCTCCACACGCCAGAGCTACTAGGCCAGTTGTGCCCATGGAATCATAGGATGGTTAGAGTTGGAAGGGACCTTAAAGATCATTGAGTTCCAACCCCCCTGCCATGGGCAGGGACACCTCCCACCAGACCAGGTTGCTCAAAGCCCCATCCAGCCTGGTCTTGGCAGGGCAGAAGCGAGCATGCCAACACACAGACTCCTGCCTGTCCTTGGTCCCCGAAAGCCACAGACACACCAACCTTCAGCTCTAGCTCTTGGCTCTCCACCCCATAGGTGGGTCACCCTAGTTCCCTGCAGGAAGACCTTTGGTCTCTCCTAAATTCTTTCTTTTATTCCTCTCTTTGTTCGCGAACCACAAGTCCTAGGTTAGCGGGTGTGCTCACAGAAGACCTTGACTCCATGGGTCAAGGGTCTTCCTCACTGCCACCATCCCCAGAGAGCAGACAAGGAGCCACAGAGCCAGGGCTGAGCTGCTAAGAGCAGAGGAAGGAGAAAAAGCTTACAAGGTACGACTAGAGGGAAGAGAAACACTTGAAAGATGCAAAAGCCAGAAAAGGCAAACTGTGCCAGAGGGAAGTCAGTCTCTTAAAGGAAAGAACCGGCAGAGCCAGACAGAGAAGGAAGAAAAACAAACAAGATGACTGCAGGAGACAAAGAGGATGAAACTTCACAGAACAGCTGCTGCATATCACACTTGGAACTCTGTGAGACAAACAGAACAACAATCCCACTTTCCTGCTGTGATCCATCAGAAATGAGGGCCCCCCTCCCTTTTGACTCACAATCCCTGGAGCCACTGTGGGTTTCCCCAAGCGCCCATTCCCATTCCTCTGTTGATGGCTGCTTTTCATCACTGTCTCAGAGAGGCCACAACCTCCAATTCCTCCAGACAACCACGACATAAACAACTAAATACCTCTCCAGAACAGCTAGCAGCACCCAGGGTGGTGGCTCTCGACTCTGCAGGAATGCTCTGCAGGGAGATCTGGGGGGGATACATCAGCTCCCCCCTGTGCAGATGCTGGCATTGAAGCCCTGCAGCAGCCCCAAACCCTGCTGCACTGGGCACCTGCCCAGGACCCAGTTGTGGGGCCTGCTCTGCTCTTGCTGCACAGTGAAAGTGTGGGAAAAGCCAGGCCTCCATTGCCCTCCTTCGCAAAAATCAAACCCAACAGTGCCCAGGGAAGCAGCAGAGGGAATACTCCGCTGAAAGACTTCAAGATTGCCTTATCTGCTACCTCCTGGCAAAGGGGTGGGTGCTCTAAGAGCCTAAGGATCCCCTTCTTATCTTCATTACCCCTAGCAGCCCCTATGAAAACTTGCCTTTATGTTACATATATGCAGTCTGACAGCTACAATCTTTACCTGAGCAGCTCCCCGCTCCAAGGCCCTGTTTTAAAGATTTTACCACAAGAGGAACACTAAAGGAATAAACCATTAGTGTTGTCAGGGAGGCAGATAAGTCTTTAAGTGGCCATGGCTGAAACAATGCTGCCACTACTGCCATTATTAACCATGTGAGACATTATTAATGATGCTACTGATGTGAGGTCTCTGCATGCTACTTCTTGGTGCAAATACCAGCTTCCATGCAGGCAGGGCACTGATTATTTTTTTTCCCCTGCAGTTCTGTGGTGTGGTCCATTCAACCCGCAGTTCCCCAGTCACTGCAGGCCAACGTGTACACTGGTGGCTGCCCAAAGGCAGGGCCTGCCCCTCTCAGCCCCTGCCCTTCACTCCCTGGTCTCCCTCACGGGCTGGGGCAGGAGCTGGTGCTCGCACCATACAAGTCCATACCTTTCTGCAGCTGGGCTAGCGGTGGCTGAACCGGCCCCTCGCACAGCCCCGCTGGCCGTACCGGGGGAAGGGGGTACAAGTCCCTCTGCTAGACAGGGAGCCGCCCGCTGAAATGAGCAGCGACCGGGCGGCCTTGCGGCGGCAAAGGAGCCTCACAGAGCGCCGCCGGGACCGGAGCCCGCCATTCCTTCCAGCCGCCCCGGCCTTCCCTGCACACTTCACACCCTGACCGGCACCCCGCCTGGCCTGCACCTCGGCGCTGGCGCGGGCTCCCTTTACCTGGGCGGCGGTGGGCCCGGGGGTTCCTCAGAGGCGAGCGGGCGAGCGCGCGGAGCGACGCCTCACCTCACGGCTACCGCCACCGGCGGGGCTGGAGGAGCAGCCGGCTCCCGCGGGAACCGGGGCCACGGACAACCGCCTCCCGCACCTCGGCCTGCGGTGAGGGATTGGGGAAGCGGAGGGGAAG